GTTTTAACACGAGGCCGTGGTCCAGGTCGGTCTCGGGGACGGGGACGGGGGGGGGGGGGGGCATTGATCTGGGGGCATCTCGAGTCTGTTTGAGATGAGCAGATGGTCGCCGTCGTGCTCCTCGGGGGAATAAAGGTCTGAGTCTAACATGTCAAACAGCAGAAGCTCGGAGGAAATGGAGGAGGGAGGCGGACACGGCTCGATCTGATGCTCAAATATCAAACTCGATTTCAGTACTAAGGAACAGACTCTGATACCGCGATGATAAAAACACTAAACACATTAAATCGTAGTACTTTCTTTTATATTACTAATAAGACTTTTGATGAGCCCAGTGTCCTTGATTTGCATTTTCCGGCTCTGTCAGCTCAGATTGTCTTGTGTTTTTGTTGTGTTGTGTTGTTGTGTTGTGTTTTTGTTGTGTTGTGTTTTTGTTGTGTTGTGTTTTTGTTGTGTTTGGAGTATTTTTCATGAACAGTAGAGCAGGTCACATACTGCACCTTTAATTATAATTGTTACATAATTCACCTTGTCTTTTGTGTTTTGCAGTGTATCTTTAAAGCTCACAAGAGTCAGTTTTAGTCCTGGTTTAGACTTGGATTCATCCTGGTCTAGTACCTGGTTTAGTCCTGATTTAGACCGGGTTTAGATCTCAGTTACATCTGATTTAGACCTGGTTTACTCCTGGTCTAGTCCTGGTTTAGTCCTTGATTAAACTTGGTTTTCTCCTGGTCTAGACCTGGTTTAGTCCTTGTTTAGTCCTGATGTAGTCTTGGTTTAGTCCTGATTTAGTCCTGGTTTAGACCTGATTGAGATCTGATTTACACCTGGTTTAGTCCTGGTTTAGACTTTGTATAGTCCTGGTTTACTACTGTTTTAGTCCTGGTCTAGTCATGGTTTAGACCTGGTTTAGACCTTGATTAACACCAGTTTACTTCTGGTTTAGTCCTGGTTTAGTCCTAGTTTAGATTCTGTTAATGGGACAGTTTTAGTCTTGGTTTTTGCTCAAATGAGTGTTTAGTTCAGAATCAGATTTTCTGCACTTTTGACATCCCCAGTCACTTCACATTTTTTTATTGGAGCTTTTTATTTGATTTTTGTTTTTGTGTCTCATCAATCTACTCTCCGTTAGTACAAAAACACAAATGTCATTGTCTCACAGTGGGACAATTACAGTGTTGCAACGCAAAGTTCAAGAACAGTCGACACCAAAATTGTTCAGTCTTGTTACAATTAAATCAACACTTTTTTCAAATGTTTTTCAAATGCAGATGTTATTTCTTTGTCTGGAATGTTCCACAGTATGGCATTAAACCTTTCTAACTCCGTGGAGACCGAACCAGACCATGTTACAGGTCAGGTCTGTGGAGAGGCGACCCCGCTCACAGTCAGAATGCCTGTTTTTCTAGGAAACTTTCAGCTATAAAACCACCTGTAATTGAATAAATGTGAAGTAAAGCTGTTTAATGTCACACTGTGGAACATTCTAGGCAGAGCAGTGACATCTCCATAGAAACGAACAGGCGATAGTGCACTTTTTAAAGCTCACAAGAGTCAATTTTGCGTAATGTGGAACCTTTAAATGCAGCTTCCTCCGCGCTCTCTTCTCTTGTTTATGGATGTGGCCGCACCGTATAGTGTTTTTTTTTTTTTTTTTTGTGGGAGCTAATTGTCCCCGTTTCTATGGAGATTAATTGAATGATGGTGATAGCACGGAGCCATGTGATTGGTTGATTAGATTCTCTTGCAGCGGAAGTCTGTAAACACAACACCGCTCTGGACAAAGATGATATTAAACCAGGAGAGGTGGAGTTTTACTCAGCTGTATGGACCTGAAGGGAAATTGGATTAGAAAATGAACTACGACTACAACGACTGCAAATGTACCAGAGCAGAAAACATGGAGAATCATATTATAACTGTTGTGGTAGCTATACAGAAGGCTAATTTTGCAGGCAATGTTTTTCTTATTTGTATAGCACAGTGATACTCTCTATTTTTTTCATAAGAGCCACATTAGAAGAGCAAAATCAAGAGAAGAGCCACATATACCCAACATACGCCAACAGACCAAGACTGCGTTCAGACTGGAGCCTGAAGTGACCCAAATCCAATTTTTTGGCCCCTATGTTCCTGTATCTGATCTTTTAATGTCAGTCTGAACGACACAGATCCGATTTTTTCAAATGTGACCCAGGACACTTGGATATGTGCTCCTGAAACTGATACATATCTGATCTTTTGACATGTGACTTCAGTGTGAACGGCCAAAGTGCATTCATCCACCTACACGTTATCAACAAGACACAAACGTCACTATTCTGCGCTGAAGTAGAGAAAATTGTTAATGAACTCCGTGTCACTGAAGTGAAGCACATCACCACTCACCACTCTTGGCTCCGTCTCCACATCCACACGTTCCTTTCAACGGACGTCGCTGCCGCTGCCCCACAAAACACCACGACCAAAAACCTCGTCCTTCTCCTTCTCAATCTCCTCCTTAAAACAAGTAAGTTGTTCATGTTCTGGCTCCGGTACGAGAGGAACTTTAAAATCTCCAGGTGCTCGATGCTGCGTCCATGTTTGGACAACTTCTGTAAACACAGAGACGCTCGCTGCGGTTGACGTCGTCGTGTCTCCAGTGTCACATGTGGGACACTTTTGGGCCGTTTAATGTTCACACTGGAGTCACACACAAGTCACATTTAATTGGAAATGTTAATGACCTCGCAAAAACATCAGATTTCACAAAAAAATCGGAATTGAGCGTGAAGCCCTGCAGTCTGAACGTAGCCCAAGTCACCTTTACAAATGTGCATTTGTACATATGTCATCATCATCTCGGCCTGTAACGATAACAAATTTTATTGGACGATTAATTGACCAAGAATTTATTGTGATAAACAATAATACTGACATTTTGAGACAATTTTCAACTAATATAATGACCATGGAATAAAAATGCAAATACGCCGTTTCAAAGATCAATAAACTTGACTTTCTAAAGAACATTTAACACAGGAACTGCAAGACAAACAAAAAGAATATGCCTCAATAAAATTTAGCATAAAACATAAGAATAGCCTAATGTGGTCTAGTCCTGCACCGGGTCGGGTACCTGCGGTGTTCGTAATAACACATCCTGTTTCACTTGAGGGAGCCTCTGTCCTGTCTGGTGTCGTGTCGGTGTCTTGTGGGATTTCAGTGGATGTTGGGCTCTCCCGGGGGCGGGGCTTGTTGTGTTGCTCGGGTATGGGTGTTTGTCGGCTGTTGGGGTTTGAGCCATTTCTTCTTTTCGTTTGTGCTCTCGCCTGAATTTGCCGCATGTGGATGTGGGTATGACTCTGTTTGATTAAAAACACACTTCAGTATCTCAGTGTTAGGATCTTTACCCATTCTGAAGGTGAAAGATTGTAATTTATTAGTTTATAAGGCCCCATTTACACGTACACGGGTATTTTTTTAAAAAACTGTGACATTTCCCTTCGTTTGTTCTCATCTTTAACACACAAACCACAAATTTGCCTCTGAAAACAAATCTTTCTGAAAACTCCGGCTTCAGTGAACAGTCTGGAAAACTACGGTTTGACGTTTGCGTGTAAAGTGAGATAAACAGAGTTTTATGAGCTGACGCGCCGACACTTTTCATGTGTTTGCATTTGCACACACAGCTGATGTTTCATATCCATGACCCGAGACCAATGAGGCTTTAACAGATCTGTGGAGAGGCGAGCCGCTCACTAATGCACTTTGTTTTTCAAGGTATTTTTGAGTAAAACTTACAACTGTAATGAAATAAATGCTACAGGTTTGAGTCTAATCCAGGCGCTGCCCAGAGGTTTGGTGTAGTTATAACCAGTGTTGGGGAGTAACAGATTACATGTACCGGAGTAATGTAATCAGAGTACAAATTATGAGTAACTGAACTGTATTCAGTTACAGTTACTGTTTCAGTGACTGGTAATTGGATTACAGTTACTTTGTCGAAATAAATGCATTGCATGGCGGTATTTTTCTGTTTTCACATTTTGCCCTAAACCAGGACTAAACCAGGTCTAAACTAGGACTAAGTCAGGACTAAATCCAGGACTAAACCAGGACTAAAACCAGGACTAAACCAGGTCTAAACCAGGACTTAATCTAGGACTAAATCCAGGACTTAACCCGGTCTAAACCAGGACTAAAACCAGGACTAAAACCAGGACTAAAACCAGGACTAAACCAGGTGTAAACTAGGACTAAACCAGGACTAAAACCAGGACTTAATCCAGGACTAAAACCAGGACTAAAACCAGGACTAAACCAGGTCTAAACCAGGTCTAAACCAGGTCTAAACCAGGTCTAAACCAGGTCTAAACCAGGTCTAAACCAGGACTAAACCAGGACTAAACCAGGTCTAAACCAGGTCTAAAACCAGGACTAAACCAGGAGTAAACCGGGACACTAACAGTAGGTGGACATAATTAAAAGCAGCAGTGATCTCATATAAAAATAATTTCTCTATCAGTAATATTTTTAATACGGTTAAGTAAAGTCTGGGCTTTTTAATTGTCTTTAAGCAGATTTATCTTATGTTCAGATTTCCTCGTCTTTGCTTTTCTACAGCAAACAGTTACCTGATCATGGAGACTTGGGCTCAACAGACAATTTGAAGACGACCAACGGGAGCTTGCTGGATGTGGTCGCTACATTCATGTAGTTTTAAAAAGCATGACAATATCAAGTAATCCAAAGTATTCAGATTACATTACTCACTTTAAGTAATTTAATGGATTACGTTACAAACATTTTAAAAGTCACCAGAGCGATACATCCTGGGCGTGTGCTGTGCTGTTGTTACTGCTTTGGTGTAAATTGTGGGTTAAACAGAAACACTGAATCACCACAGAAGCGTCTCTCTCCATGTGGCCACAAAACTGTCATTGTTGTTTTTTAATATCGAGTTAAAACCGAAGTCGTTATATTTACATAGTTTTGTGTTTTGTCTGTGTGTGTTGTAGGAGATCAAGCCCCAGCCTCACTACAACCACGGCTACAGCGAGACCACGAGCCGCAAGAACCACGTGGACGACTACAGCACCTGGGACATCGTCAAGGCAACGCAGTGAGTAAACAACATAACACACGACATAACATAGTGACCTGATTAAATAAAACATCTTTGCAATCCTTGTACACTTTAAATTAGGAAACCGAAAAACTGGAACTGATTTAAAGTTACTGTTACTGTCTTTAATCAGATCTGCGTTGTGTATTTTCTGTCCTCTGGTGTATTGGTGTGTAACGTATATTGTATATTGTGTGTGTATGTAGATCTAAAACTTAATCAGCAAATTAGTGATGTTGTAAAAGCAAGTTTTTTCCAGCTAAGACAACTGGCCAAAATTAAGCCTATTTTGTCTATGCAACATTTTGAAACTGTCACACATGCATTCGTGACAACTGGATTGGATTATTGTGATGCACTTTATGTTGGTGTGAGCCAAAATGCGCTTTCCCGGTTGCAGCGGGTCCAAAACGCAGCGGCTCGACTTTTAACTGGAACCTGGAAACACGAGAGCGTCTCACCTGTTTTAGCTTCTCTCCATTGACTCCCAGTGTCTTTTAGAGTCGATTTTAAAATTATTTTATTTACTTTTAAGTGTTTGCACGGCCCAGCGCCCTCCTACCTCACTGACTTGATCCACCCTCACGTCCCCTCTCGTACTCTCAGGTCTGCAGATCAGCTCCAGCTCACCGTCCCAAAAACTAAACGTAAACTTCGTGGGGACCGTGCGTTTTCTGTTTCTGCCCCTTGGTTGTGGAACCATTTGCAATTAGAGATTAGAGGCCGAGTCTGTACCTGTTTTTAAATCACTCCTAAAAATTTACCTTTTTTCACCGGCTTTTAATAAGTGACATGTATATTTCTTGTTGAGTGTTTTACTGTTTTTCTATGTTTTTAGTAGCTTTATTTTATGTGTTTCTTTTACTGCGATTGTTTGTCTGTCCTGTGTTTGTGTACAGCACTTTGGTTTACTGTAAAGTTTTTAAAGTGCTTTATAAATATGGTATGGTATGAATAGGTCAGGGATTGGCAACCTTAAATACTGAAAGAGCCATTTGGAAAACACCCGGAGCCACAAAACCCCTTTGACTCTAAAATGATTAAAACACTGCAGATCTTTTTTTACCTGTGTCTCTGTATAAAAGACTATTGTGTGTTGCATTTATGAAATCAATGAAATGCTACTGAGAACATGGAATTTTATTTCTGCATGTAACAAAAACATTTTGAGACTCGATTTGAGTCCTCGTAGGAAATAAAAATCCAATCTTAAATTATCCACTTGCAGCGAACCAAAAATGCATCTGCTTCTGTGTTAACGTTCAGTCTTCTTCTGAAACTTTTCTTTTCTTGGATTTATCCATCATTTTCCTACCAGGGGTCCAAAAGCTCAATAAATCCTGCTGCTGGTGTAGGGGCCGGTGAGTCCAGGCTGCCAGATCTGTGCCGCGTGTTGCACTTCAGCAGCTTTGACGCATATTTTGAGTGACAAAAATATTGAAAAAATTGTATTTTAATGATACACGATTACCATTATCTACAAATTTACAATTACATTTAAAAATGAACAAACTAAAAATATATATATTGTAATTAAATACTCATTATTTATTTTCCAAAGTCACAGGGAGCCACAACTGAAGGATGAAAGAGCCACATGGATCTGTGGGTTGCTGACTCCTGGTGTAGTAGGGTCCAGTCAAGTGGTAACGGAGGGAAACGGGCAGATTTTTGACATTCAAATGTCTCTTATTCAGAAACTAGAGGGACTATTGAAATAAGTAAAGTATCAGAATGTAGGAAAGAGTTACACTCCAACAGGGTAAAGTTAAACCTGTGATATTCTTTCAAGTTGTTGACAAAAAATTAAAAAACTCATGTCGGTAACGGAGAGAATGAAATATGCAGCACTTTTTGGGCAATAAATCCAAACAGTGAAAACTCTTGGTTCTCACTTACATATCCTTAACAAACTGGTTTGAATATTTGCTTCATATAGTTTTCTACCATATGGTACAAGATTAGGTTGAAAAACCTCTTACTTTTTGAGTAATTAAATTTTTTTATTAAGAAAGGTCATGGTAACGGAGGGAAAAGTAACGGAGGAAAAATTGTGCAAACAAGTAGAAGGTGCAGGATTTTACATCATTTGTTGCTTTTTTCTTCTGAATACTTTAATATTACTTCAAAATGAAAGGAAACTATTTCTATAAAATATGTCAGTCCTTCCAAGCAAATTTTTATGATTTTAAATAATTTTTTTTTTTTGAAAAATCATGTACCTTCATCAACAGTTCAAAGATGGAATAACACAAGATATGATGAAATACATCCATTTATTTACATGATTTTCAGGTCTTTGAAATTTGGGAAATAATTTTTGTTCCATGTTTCATACATGGTCTGTTTAAAACATATGGAACTTTAGAACCAAAAATGGTACAGAAAAAAGTAAACAATTTCATAAACTAGAGTACATATGTATCTGCTGAATACATTTTTATATCAGATGCATTAACTTGAATTTTTCGGTCTTGATGTTTACTTCTGCTTGACTGGGCCCACGTGTACAGGTGGTTTTGGTGTATTGTATAGTTGACCGTATGTTGTTGCAGATATGGGATCTTCGAGCGCTGTAGAGTCCATATGTATTATGTATTTTCTTTTGTTTTGTATTGTGTTGTATGGTGTTGTATTTGTGTGTTGGTGTATTGTATAGTTGACCGTATGTTGTTGCAGATATGGGATCTTCGAGCGCTGCAGGGACCTGGTGGAGGCGGGGTTTGACGTGCGACAGCCCGACAAAGAGAACGTCACACTACTGCACTGGGCGGCCATCAACAACAGGATAGACCTCGTCAAGTGAGTCACTGCCGCACGTTACACCAGACCACAGACCGTATGAAGAAGTGAACTAAGGCAGTGTGACGTCAGCCACAGCGTTCGGCTCCCGTCACATGAATCGCCCTCATGTCTGTTTTTGATGTATATTGTGTTTTTCAGGTACTACATATCAAAAGGAGCCATAGTGGACCAACTGGGCGGGGACCTCAACTCCACACCTCTGCACTGGGCGACCAGGTAACCCAACTACTGTACAAACACTGATTTCAGAAAGTTTTTAATTACATACGTCACGACCAAATGGCAGCGATTGGTTAAATAAAAAAAGTACCCGCCTACCATCTACTAGAGATGGTTAAATCCGCGGGTCGGGCGGGATGACGTGACGAAAAATTATATTTTAATTAAATTCGGGCGGGTGGTGGTTTAACTACAAAAAAAAAAAAAAAAAGAAGTTATTGTTAGCATTGTTACCTACATCTGAAAAGACGAGTCTCATTGTCTATGCTTGTAGTATGAAGTGTACGTCATGTCCTTAATTAGCCCATTTGACCTCGTTTTTATGTTCTGAAGGTTAAGGTTGTGTCGGGTTATTGATGCCTAAGGTTTACGAGGCACATATTATATGCAGTTTATTTTATTATTTCTAATTTATTTCAGCTGTTTGCCAACACATAAGTGGCTATAGGGACATATTTATTTAGTTATGCATATTTTTTCTTGTCTATTTCAATTGGAATATAAAGAGGGCATTGCCTGATTTCAATAAAGGTTCATCTGGATGAGATGATCTGTGTATTTTGTTTCGATATCAGTTATATTTTAAAACACGCAGACATTATAGTGTAGGCTGCCACTCGGGGGATTTAAAACTTAAAGAAACACCGATGGAGTGAGGCTATGACTTTGAAATAACATCGAGCAATGGCAGAATGTTCAGAATGTAACAACATCCAACACGAAGGCAAGAAGGTTCAAAAATAGTCTAGTCGGAAAACGTTGTCAATTAATTAGCTGCGCAAGAAAACCAGGTAAGTTTGGGGTTGTTACGGACAATTAAGAATGTGAACATACATGCTGAGCGAATTTTGGAATGAATGAGCTATAGAGTTTGCATTTTTATCGAGGCTCCTTAGTTTGTTTGCTGTATGATTGTTCTAAAATCTAAAATCAATCGGCGGATGGCGGGCGGGTGCGGTTTTGAAAACCTTCGGTGCAAAATGGACAGCGGACGGATGATGAGTTTTGTGTCGCGGTTGCGGATGAAAAAATAGCCCATCCGCGCATCTCTACCATCTAGGGCTGTCACAGTTAGGGAATTTCTCCTGCGGCGCAGTATAGCGGCTCAACAGAGCGGTATGTGGTGATATTGCATCCCCCGGAGTTATAACATTTCCAGCGGCTCTGAAAACTCTCTCTGATGATGCGCTTGTTGCAGATGCACATGAACCTTGGTTGTTGTGTGGATATAGTGTGTGTAGTGTGAGAAGTAACATTTGGCTTTGGAACAAGTGTCGCTGCATCTCTCCAGCTCTCACTGTGGCAGCTCGGGTCAGGGTCCCGCGCCGGGTCGGGTCAGGGTCCCGCACCGGCTCAGGTACCGCGAGAAAGAGCCCCTAGCACGAGCACGCGGAGCAGGTGTCCACAAAGCGCGATCGGGTGATGGCCGCACTTAACTCGGTGCGGCATGGAGCTCTTTGGCGGTCCTTTCGCCTGTGGTCACCAGACGGTCTACGCGGGCGCACCTTAGTCTGGGTTAGTCCTGTGTTAGTCCTGGGTTAGTCCTGGGTTAGTCCTGGGTTAGTCCTGGGTTAGTCCTGGGTTATCACGGGTACGGGCGGTAATGGGTAGAATGTTAATGAGACCGGGCGGGCGCGGGTCTCTAAAAATGGACCCGTGCAGGACTCTGGGTTGGGTCACGTTAGTCACCTTGGGCCTCTTAGTACCGCGGTGATTCATTTTTGCGGTTATTGCGACAGCCCTGCTACCATCGAACAAACGAATCCTAATGCTGTGAGGTCAGACGGTTTCCACGAAGTAAAACCGGCCGATGAATCAGGCCAGAACTGAATAAGCTCTCGATGTAAATGTTATTAATTTAGGCAGCAGTCCCCACACTGGAAAAGCTACACAGTGCACCTTAAAATATTTTTATGGTAATATTTGTGTTATAATTTGATTCTGTCTGTTGCGCACTGGTCACATTGGTCAGTGTGCGTTTGTGTACAGACTCTGGTTGTGAGGCAGACTCCGGTCAGAGGATCCTGTAGCCCGGTGGTCTGGAGCAGGTCACATAACCCCCCCTGAGCTCCGAGGATCAGCTCTGTCCTCTGAATTATTGATGACACTGACACAGGCCTCACCCCTTCTTCTTCCCCTCTCTTCATCTCACCCCCGTGTAACATTTAACATCCCTGCGACAGAATATAAGGACTTGTTGTGTACAAAACCTGCTAATCGTGTACTTAAGACCTCTACAAACATGTCTGGAAATACACGGGACTCTTGTGTTACTCCCAGTTAAAGATACCGCTTCTGGATGTATTTTAAGGTGCACTTTGTAAATTTTCTATGCTGCAGTGTCTGAAATCTTTTTAAACTTGTATAGCTTTTAGCAGCTGTCACCTGTTTGTTTCTATGGAGATGGATGAGTTTAATGCCATACTGTGAAACTTTTCCAGGCAAAACGGTTACATCTCTATGAACTCAAGCAAGTGACGTTTTGATTAGAATGTTTCCCCTCATCAAAATGTACCTGGAGTTGTGTTTTTTTCTGCGCTGTGTCATTAATCCACTTAATCTAAAGTCATTTTCTCTTGAGCATTCATTCGTATTTTGCCAGTTTAGTTGCGTCATAGATAATAAAACGAAACTTTCCTTTTTTTCTTAGATAAGCTTAAGCTGCGTTCAGACCGGCGCGTCAGGGCTTCTAGTTCACACGCAGAGTCTGTGTGGACGTCCTGCGTTTTTGCAGCACGTCCTCAAGCGTCAGCACTGCGTAGGTTTGGGCGGTATCCAAATTTTTATACCGTTAAACCTTCTAAGAATTTTACCGGGGTGTACAGTATTACCGTATTACCAAAATGTTTTAGTACGACTTTGGTAAACTACGAAGTCGCACCACTGTACGGTTTGTGTGTGTGACCTACAGATGTATAATCTCTGAAAAGTTTAACATGAACCATCTCCAACGCGATACAGAACAGAACAGACTCACCATCAGCAGCACATCCTCTGTCACAGAAAGAACACTCATATTCCACTGAGTCGTGTCCTTTAGTCCGACAGAAGCTGAACCGCATCAGCGACAGGGAGCCGTTTTTATCAGCGCTTATAGTTTATGCAAATGAGCCATGTGGTTTTAAGTTTTGTTTCTGTAAAATGTAAACAAATGTGCGTCTGAAGGCAAAATGTTGCAAAAAACTCTCAAAACTCGCTTCTGGCCGGTCTTACCATCTTGCCGAGGTCTCCCTTTATGAGCGTCACGTGACAGCAGAACAAAACTAATCAAACGTCATCTCCCCACACAGTTAAAAGAAACATTATGGACACTATTAGTTTTAAATCATGATAGAATTAAACTAGAAATACAGCTACACATTCATCTGTACAACATTTAAGTATCAATAAATCATAATATTATATTAGGTCCTTATGCGCTGCAGATGGTTTAAATGACGGTAATGAAACTGATACTGTTGCTACTTTCTGATACGGCGGGATACTGTGATACTGTATTCCCGTCCAACTCTAGCGCTGCGTGAATCTGGCGTCGACATAACGCATTTTGAGCCATCTGCCGTTGGACGCTCTGGATGCGCGTCAAGAGCGTCCGATGCCAGAAGTTGAAAAAGCTGAACTTTTGGCGTCAAAGGTCCAACGAGAGGCGTCCAGCTCATTTTTTGATTTTTCAGAACGAGGTCTGAACACGGCTTTAGATTTAAACAAACTTTATTGAGCCACAAGGGAAATTACTTGGACACAGGAGCTCGCATGTCACAGTAGATATAAATGTATAATATATAGTAATCTCTCTCTCTCTCCTTCTCTTTCTCTCTCTCCTTCTCTCTTCAGACAAGGCCACCTGTCTATGGTGGTGCAGTTGATGAAATATGGCGCAGATCCGTCTCTGATCGATGGAGAAGGCTGCAGCTGCGTGCACCTGGCTGCTCAGTTTGGACACACCTCCATCGTGGCCTACCTCATCGCCAAAGGACAGGTGAGGCCGGGTTTAGTGTAGGGATCAGTGTTTATCATGAGCACTTTCTCTTTGTGGAGGACTTTTAGTTATTTATCTGTACGACAATGAAAGCTGTAGAAGGTTCCAAAAGGTTTTCCTAAAAGGATTTGTAAATGAATATATATATTTTTTTCGAATTCAGTGTAGTAAATTGTTGCATTCGTATTTGACAAAAAATACAGACTATTTTTGATTGTTCATGCGAGAGCTGTTTCAGATTGATAAATGTGTTGAGAACTCATTTCCGAGTGCTGCACATTGGGTTATTGTGTCAGTTTTATAAATTACTTTCACTACATTTCCATAAACTCAATCAAGTGACCTTTTATAGTTGGAATGTTTCCCCTCATCAAAAATGTTCCTGGAGTTGTATTTTTTTTTTTCAAGCTTCACTCACGCTGTGTCATTAATGTACTTAATCTAAAACAGTGGTGCTCAATATGTCGATCGCGATCTACCAGTCGATCGCCAAGGTCGTGTGGGTAGATCGTCGTGTCTCGTCTCGGACTCGCGTTTGGACTCGGTCTTGTCTCTCACTCGAGGTCTGACACTCAACAAGTGTGATCATATTTCATTCCGGCCGCTGCTGTTGGTAATAAACTTGTAGCGGGTGCAGGAGCGTGTGGGGCGTCTCAGTGCAGCCTGTGCGCTCATTTGAAACCCGCGGAGACTCTACGGCGCATCACAAACACACACGCTCCCTATGCACGGCTCGTCTGCGACAGCGTGTGCCCTCGTGTACCAGCGTGCATCACAGGGCAGGTTCAACTTCCTAAACATCCTACCTGTCCACCTGCCTCACGTCAGCACGCCGCCCCTCGCCTTTTCACGCTCTCGCTCCTTCCTGCGTACAGCCAACACAAGCCCCTCCCACAGTGCGGCTGATTAGAAGAGCAAGACCAAACGTGAAGCAAAAACCAGTCTAAATTTGTGTTCCAGCGTTGGCACAGAGCAGGTCTACAGCATAGAGCGGATCTACAGAACAGACCTACTGCCACATTTGGCTGAAGTTTGTCTAACAAAAGTGACAAATGCATCTGTGTTTGTCACGATGTGCGTTTGGTTTGGTAAACGTGCAGAGGCTGGTAAATATCACTGCAAAACCAGAAAAGAATGAAACTCCAGTTTGGAACTTTAAAAAAACAGGTTTAAAAAATCTTCCTTCACTTTTTTCACAGTTTTTTGTGTAAAGTGCCAGAGGAAGTTTCTCTTAAAGAAGAGGTTCTCAAACTGTGGGTGAGGGTCCAAAAAAGGGCACAGAGTGTTTCAGTGCAGTTTGTTTGGCTTTTGTATTAGGTAGATCATTTTGACTTGGTCATTTTGTAAGTAGCTCACATGCTGAAAAAGTGTGAGCACCTCTGATCTAAAGTAATTTTCTCTGAGCATTCATTTGTATTTTGCCAGTTTAGTTGCATTATGATAGTTTTCATGTTATCATGCCTTTATGTTCTGACTAAAATAACGGTGTGTTTGAGGCAGGGAGGGTTTGTTTTTGTAGTTTCCTCATGCACCAGTAGATGGAGCTGTTGTACTGTGTCCTGACCTGACTCTTCTCTCTGCTGCAGGACGTGGACATGATGGACCAGAACGGGATGACTCCTCTGATGTGGGCGGCGTACAGAACACACAGGTCTGTGCAAATACAAAAGAAACTCGACTTTATTTAAACGGGCCGTGTCCTCGACTATAAACACTGTGATCCCTGCGTCTGACTGTGTTAATCTGTGCTTTTTCAATCTGTCCATATAAAAAGGATCGGTTGTTTTCCTCTTTCCTTCAGTGTGGACCCGACGCGGCTGCTGCTCACCTTTAACGTGTCTGTGAATCTGGGAGACAAGTATCACAAAAACACGGCTCTGCACTGGGCGGTTTTAGCGGGAAACACGACAGTGATCAGCCTCCTCCTGGACGCCAACGCCAACGTCGACGCACAGAACATCAAGGTACCTGCAGGGTTTTTCTTTAGTCCAGTTTCTTCAGGTCTGCTGAGTTTTTCTACAGATTCATTACAGACTTAAATGTACTGACATGGTAATTTTATAAACATGAACTAAAAAGTGAGTGTATCAAAATAACAAAACGAAGTACTGAACCAGGCCTAAACCAGGCCTAAATCGGGTCTAAACCAGGTCTAAACCAGAACTAAAAAAGGTCTAAAAAAGGTCTAAACCAGGTCTAAACCAGGACTAAATCAGGACTAAACCAGGCCTAAATCGGGTCTAAATCAGGTCTAAACCAGGTCTAAACTAGGTCTAAACTAGGTCTAAACCAGGACTAAACCAGGACTAAATCAGGACTAAATCGGGTCTAAACCGGGTCTAAATCGGGTCTAAACCAGGTCTAAACCAGGACTAAATCAGGTCTGAGCTAGGACTGAGCCAGGTCTAAACCAGGTCTAAACTAGGACTAAACCAGGACTAAACCAGGACTGAGCCAGGTCTAAACCAGGTCTAAACCAGGTCTAAACTAGGACTAAACCAGGACTAAACCAGGACTGAGCCAGGACTGAGCCAGGACTAAACCAGGTCTAATCCAGGACTAAACCAGGTCTAATCCAGGACTAAATCAGGTCTAAACCAGGACTGAGCCAGGACTGAGCCAGGACTAAAGCAGGTCTAATCCAGGACTAAACTAGGTCTAATCCAGGACTAAACCAGGACTAAATCAGGACTGAGCCAGGACTGAGCCAGGTCTAAACCAGGTCTAAACTAGGACTAAACCAGGTCTAATCCAGGACTAAACCAGGTCTAATCCAGGACTAAACCAGGACTAAACCAGGACTAAACCAGGACTAAACCAGGACTAAACCAGGTCTAATCCAGGACTAAACCAGGTCTAGACCAGGATACATCCCTGACTTTAAAGGTCCTATATTACACAAAATTGACTCTTGTGAGTTTTAGTTCATGTTATAATGTTTTTACCTCATCAAAAACAAACCTGTTTGGTTTTATTCACATGTCTGAGTAACAATATTATGAGTCTGTCCACATCACCAAAGCTCAAAACGCTCTGTTCCACCTTGTGATGTCATGAAGCAGTAGTTTTCGGTTTAGTAGAGATCGGCAATTCCAGGTCTGAAATGATCCATATGATTCTAGTGAAGGTGTGGGGTTTAAAAACACGGTGGAGCACTTTCTGTATTAGACATTAGACTTAGACAAACTTTATTTTTAATAGTTTGATATATTTGAAGAGTTTGTGTGTTGAGTGCAGTTCCTGTTTGTTCCAGGGGGAGACGCCGTTGGACTTGGCCAAGCAGAGGAAGAACGTGTGGATGATAAACCACCTACAGGAAGCTCGCCAGGCCAAAGGCTACGACAGCCCGTCATATCTGAAACGACTCAAGAGCGACAAGGTACAGACCGGGACCGGGACCAGGACCAGGACCAGGACCAGGACCAGGACCAGGACCGAGTCGGGACTGGTCCAGGGGATAGACCAGGGCTAAACCAAGAATAAACCAGGGCTAGACCAGGACTAAACTAGGACTAAACTAGGACTAAACCAGGGCTGAACAAGGACTGGACTAGGACTGGACTATGACTGGACCAGGACTGGACCAGGACTGGACCAGGACTGGACCAGGACTGGACTAGGACTGGACTAGGACTGGACCAGGACTGAACTAGGACTAAGCCAGGGATGGGCCAGGACTAAACCAGGACTGGACTAGGACTGGACTAGGACTGGACCAGGACTGGACCAGGACTGGACCAGGACTGGACCAGGACTGGATCATTACTGGATCATTACTGGACCAGGACTGAACAAGGACTAAATCAGGATTGGACCAAGACTAAACCAGGACTGAGCCTGGGCTGGACCAGGACTGGACCAAGTCTAAACTAGGTCTAAACCAGTTCTAAACCAGGACTAAAGAAGGACTAAACCAGGGCTGGACCAGGGCTGGACCAGGGCTGGACCAGGACTACTGGACCAGGACTAGACCAAGACTAGACCAGGACTACTGGACCAGGACTAGACCAAGATTAGACCAAGACTAGACCAAGACTAGACCAAGACTAAGCCAGGACTGGATTAGGACTGGCCAGTACTAGACCAGGATTAGACCAGGACTAAACCAGGACTGGTCCAGGGCTCGACCAGGACTAAATCAGGACTAAACTAGGACTAAACTAGGACTAAACTAGGACTAAACCAGGACTAAACCAGGACTAAACCAGGACTAAACCAGGACTAAACCAGGACTAAACCAGGTCTAAACTTATTATGCTCGCTGGTCATTTGAGTCCTGTTTGCGTCGACTCAGGAGTGACACGGTACGGCCCAGTCTGGACCAGTCTGAGCCTGCAGGCCGGTCTCTGTCTGCACCTGTGTCAAGTCTAATCAGGCGTCTGTGAGGTAATGACAGAGCAGCAGGAAAATCACCACTTTTTGTTCTTCAAAATCCACACGGACAAAAATACAAAGTGAACACACGTTACTGATTGATATATTTAACTTAAAATGTGGTGAGAGAACATGGACTAAAGCAGGGCAGATCCAGGACTGAACCAGGACTGAACCAGGACTAAACCAGGACTAAACCAGGACTGAACCAGGACTGAACCAGGACTAAACCAGGTCTAAACAAGGACTGAACCAGGACTAAACAAGGACTGAACCAGGACTGAACCAGGACTGAACCAGGACTGAACCAGGACTAAACCAGGACTAAACCAGGACTAAACCAGGACTAAACCAGGGCAGATCCAGAACTGAATCAGGACTAAATCAGGGCTGAAGTGGAACTAAACCAGGGAAACCAGGACTAAACCAGGACTGAACAAGGACTGAACCAAGGTGGATCCAGGGTTGAACCAGGGCTGAACCAGGGCTGAACCAGGACTAAACCAGGACTAAACCAGGACTAAACCAGGACTAAACCAGGACTAAACCAGGGCAGATCCAGAAATGAATCAGGACTAAATCAGGGCTGAAGTGGAACTAAAGCGGGACTGAACCAGGGCTAAACCAGGACTTAATCAGGCCTGAACTGGGACTGAACCAGGACTAAATGAGGACTGAACCAGGGCAGATCCAGGAATGAACCAGTGCGGAATTGGGACTGAATCAGGGCTGAACTGGGACTAAACCAAGGACTAACCCAAGGACTAACCCAAAGACTACCGAGGCCCGAACCGAGGCCCGAACCGAGGCCGAACCGACCAGGACTAAACCAAGGGACTAAAACCAAGCCAGACTAAAACCAGGACTAAACCAGACTAAACCAGGACTAAAACCAGGACTAAAACCAGGACTAAACCAGCACTAAAATCAGAACTAAACCAGGACTAAACCAGCACTAAACCAGGACTAATGTCAGGACTAAAACCAGGACTAAGCCCAAACTAAAACCAGGACTAAACCAGGACTAAAACCAGACTACACCATGACTAAACCAAAACTAAAACCAGGTCTAAACCAGCACTAAAATCAGAATTAAAATCAGGATTAAAATCAGAACTAAACCAGGACTAAACCAGCACTAAACCAGGACTAATGTCAGGACTAAAACCAGGACTAAACCAGGACTAAAATCAGGATTAAAACCAGGACTAAACCAGGACTAAAGCAGGACTAGGACTAACCAGGGGGGCGGCTGTCTCAAATTTACCCAATTTGAAAACCCCTGCAGTATGGCATTAAACCTTTCTATTGTCGTGGAGACCAAACCAGGCCAAGTTCCTGGTCAGATCTGTGGAGAGGCGACCCCGCTCACAGTCAAAATGTCTGTTTTGGTTGTTTTTTTTGTATTTTTGAGCAATAAAACCACCTGCAATTGAACAAATGTAAGGCAGATCTGTTTAATGTCATATTGCGCAACATTTGAAGCAGGACAATGAGATTTCCATAGCAACCGAAAAGTGACAGTGGTAGAAACGCGTTATATAAAAATGTGACCATTTATAGTATTTTCCTGCGTATCAGAAAAGGCACATGTCTACAACAATTCATACATTACATAAGAGTATTTTTGTGTTTTCATTCGTGTCGCCTGAAATGGAAAAAACATAATTGCACTCTAACCACAGGGGACCGTTACAAGCATGTTTTTAAAATTAGTTTTAATGGATTTCCATGCAAATAATTAGAAAAGGTCAACACTGCACCGCTTGTTCCAATAAATAATGTAGAAAAATAAAAGAAGGAAATGCACGCCACATTTAGGACACGTCTCGCAAACCGGTGCCAATCAACTTTGCAGAAATAAATAATTTTTGCGGGAGATGTTCTCGTAAAGCCTGATTAAAAAGTGTAGTAAAGTAGAGACGGGAAACAGGCCCAGCTGGTGACAACATTAGTCCAAGCCTCTCATTAGCAGTAATTAGCCATGTTTAGTGTCACAGCCAATACATTGTGTGTCTGATGAAAGCGCGCCTGTTCACTCAATGTAATATATAAACACAGCACCTGGTCTGGGACTGTTTGTGTGCTTTAAATCCACTGTTGAATGAGTACAATTATCGTTATAGCTGCAGTCAATTTGTCATTAAGGGAAAAGCAAGGCAGCCTGCGTTGGTTTAACTTTTGCAGTGATTCAAGACAATTTGTAAATCCCCAGTTGTATGTCTATCGCTCAGACTTACTTGTAGCTCTTATTGGATAAAAGTTGTAGAGTTAATGCTGCGGGTGTGTGGCTTTTTCACGAATTTAACGCTGTCACGGTTTGGCATTGATCTTCTCTGTCTCCATGGAAACAAGCAGGCCACTAAGTTACAGGTCATATCTGTGTAGAAAGGAGAGTAACAGGGTAGTCGCGGAGTCTTAAAAAGGTCTTAAATTTCATGTTCCTAAATTAAGGCCTTAAATTATGTTGCCCAAGTCTTATTTTTTCATAAAGGTCTTAAATTTCATTAGCCTATTTTTTTGTTTACTCAACCGGGCTGCAGTGCGATGTTAAATGGAAGGGAGGAGAAAACAACAACAATGTGAAATCTCATAACGTGAATGAACATCTAATTTGGAGTATGCGCAAACAATACTTTGGTTTCAGGCGCCGACGGCAATGAGTAAACAGTCAGTACAGTGGAGGAAGATGTTGGATGGATCATGAGGAAGTGTAGGTTTAATCTAGCCTGATTTATCAGCCAATTTTACTTCATTTTACTTTGTTTCATTTCGTGCAAACCGTCTGACCTTGCAGCCTTAGATTTCGTTCGCTCGACAGTAGGCGAGTACTTTTTATCATTTAACCAATCGCTTTTATTTTGTGGTGATGTATGTAATGCGCTGCTAACGGGGCTAACTGGTATATTAAGCTTTTCCCAAACCTCGTAGGAAGAAGAGCAATAACGTCTTTCCCCTTGATGAAATTCACCAAACGTTCTCTTTGTTCCGACTTTAGATCCTCGATCTCGGGAATCGTTGACAACACTGAATATATGACTCTTCACTGATTGGCTGGTGCCCGAACTCCTACTTCCGGAATTTTTGTGAACCGTCTTTTGTATTTTGAATCCTGATCTAGTCGCTGGAGAGAAATGAAATTGAGTGGAGGCACTAGGTGGCGCCAGCCTGGCTAGGTTTAATCCACAGGGGCTCTTAGATTCTAGATATAATACCGGTAGTTGATTGGCCATTATTAGAATCAGATCTGTTGTTTTTCACCTGCATAATGGGTGCGATGTTGGTCTTAATTTTTCAAGTGGTCTTAAAAAGGTCTTAGAAAAGCCTTAACTTTGGGGTAGTCAAACCCGGGGATACCATGAGTAAATACAGAGTAGAAAGTGTAAGAGAGGAGTAAGAATGCATGGTGTGATACTGTTAGCACAATAGTCTTTCTGCAATAGACTGTATAAAGGCTCCAGGCAAATGAATCTCAGGAGACTGGCAGTTAAAGCATTGAATCTGGAGCCAGTTCCATATTAAGACTAGGAATTTATTTACGTACAAAATAATGAAATTTTCTATGTAAAGTCAATTGGAAACAGTCAATGGAGTCGGTAGTGCCCCCATGCTCACTTCCTATTTGGAGCCCGACAGCTAGAAAGTTGGCTAAGTCCATTTATACATAGGGATGTAACGATATTCAAATCTCTCAATACAGTATTTTCATGATATACATCCCACGGTACGATATTTATTGCGATATTTTGTAGACGTGAACAAAATTGTGAAAATGCAACTTGCCTTGACGGGACTTTTGTTCTGTCATAAACCAAAGAATTAAGATTTGAATGTGCTTAAAAATTATGATTATATTTNTCAGGAGTGACACGGTACGGCCCAGTCTGGACCAGTCTGAGCCTGCAGGCCGGTCTCTGTCTGCACCTGTGTCAAGTCTAATCAGGCGTCTGTGAGGTAATGACAGAGCAGCAGGAAAATCACCACTTTTTTTGTTCTTCAAAATCCACACGGACAAAAATACAAAGTGAACACACGTTACTGATTGATATATTTAACTTAAAATGTGGTGAGAGAACATGGACTAAAGCAGGGCAGATCCAGGACTGAACCAGGACTGAACCAGGACTAAACCAGGACTAAACCAGGACTAAACCAGGACTGAACCAGGACTGAACCAGGACTAAACCAGGTCTAAACAAGGACTGAACCAGGACTAAACAAGGACTGAACCAGGACTGAACCAGGACTGAACCAGGACTAAACCAGGACTAAACCAGGACTAAACCAGGACTAAACCAGGACTAAACCAGGACTAAACCAGGGCAGATCCAGAACTGAATCAGGACTAAATCAGGGCTGAAGTGGAACTAAACCAGGACTGAACCGGGACTAAACCAGGACTGAACCAGGACTGAACAAGGACTGAACCAAGGTGGATCCAGGGTTGAACCAGGGCTGAACCAGGGCTGAACCAGGACTAAACCAGGACTAAACCAGGACTAAACCAGGACTAAACCAGGACTAAACCAGGGCAGATCCAGAAATGAATCAGGACTAAATCAGGGCTGAAGTGGAACTAAAGCGGGACTGAACCAGGGCTAAACCAGGACTTAATCAGGCCTGAACTGGGACTGAACCAGGACTAAATGAGGACTGAACCAGGGCAGATCCAGGAATGAACCAGTGCGGAATTGGGACTGAATCAGGGCTGAACTGGGACTAAACCAAGGACTAACCCAAGGACTAACCCAAAGACTAACCAGAGGCCCGAACCGAGGCCCGAACCGAGGCCCGAACCGAGGCCCGAACCGAGGCCCGAGCCGAGGCCCGAACCAAGGACTAAACTAGTTCTAAACCAAGGACTAAACCAAGGACTAAACCAAGGACTAAACTATTTCCAAATCAGGACTAAACCAAGAACTCAAGCAGGGACTAACCCAAGGACTAACCCAAGGACCAACCCAAGGACCAACCCCAGGACCAACCAGAGGCCCGAACCGAGGCCCGAACCGAGGCCCGAACCGAGGCCCGAACCGAGGCCCGAACCGAGGCCCGAACCGAGGCCCGAACCGAGGACTAAACTAGTTCTAAACCAAGGACTAAACCAAGGACTAAACCAAGGACTAAACCAAGGACTAAACCAAGGACTAAACCAAGGACTAAACTATTTCCAAATCAGGACTAAACCAAGAACTCAAGCAGGGACTAAAACAAGGACCAACCCAAGGACCAACCCAAGGACCAACCCAAGGACTAAACCAAGGACTAAACCAAGGACTAAACCAAGGACTAACCAGAGGCCCGAACCGAGGCCCAAGCCGAGGCCCGAGCCGAGGCCCGAACCAAGGACTAAACTAGTTCTAAACCAAGGAATAAACCAAGGACTAAACTATTTCCAAATCAGGACTAACCCAAGGACTAACCCAAGGACTAACCCAAGGACTAACCCGAGGACTAACCCGAGGACCAACCCAAGGACTAACCTGAGGCCCGAACCGAGGCCCGAGCCGAGGCCCGAACCAAGGACTAAACTAGTTCTAAACCAAGGACTAAACCAAGGACTAACCCAAGGACTAAACTATTTCCAAATCAGGACTAAACCAAGAACTCAAGCAGGGACTAACCCAAGGACCAACCCAAGGACCAACCCAAGGACCAACCCAAGGACCAACCCAAGGACCAACCCAAGGACCAACCCAAGGACCAACCCAAGGACTAACCCAAGGACTAACCCAAGGACTAAACAAGGACTAAACCAAATTATTTATTTACTATTTTGCTATTGATAAAACAGAAATCGAAAAGCACAGTAACATTTTTTATCGGCTTTATTGACTATTTCTGTTTTTATTTTTCTTGCTTTACTGAAGTGGTTTCAGGTTTTAAAGGTAAAATCAAACGTCTGTAGAGCAGCTGAAGCCGTAGACGACACAGCTTCTTTTCATTAGCTCCTTTTTAAAACCTGTAGGTGAACATTTTAAAGGATGTTTATTAGCTTGCTTGTACTGAAAAATAGAAATTGGAACATTCCGCCAATAGAGACACACGTAGAACACCCCCGGCACGAGGTCACTGCGAAGGAGCACCACTTTTTAGTATCGATACCAGCGAAAAATGTAGTATAGTCGTAGTTTTAGTGTTTGATTTTCGATACTTTTGGCCTCCCTACTTCATATTTTTTGTCATTTCTATTATTTCTTCGCGTATTTGAGAGCGCGTTTGTGTTTTTTTCAGGACATCAGGCAGAAGGTGATGCTGGGGACGCCCTTCGTGGTCATTTGGTTGGTCGGGTTCATCGCAGACCTCGATATCGACTCCTGGTTAATCAAAGGGATCATGTACGCCGGGGTCTGGATCGCCGTGCAGTTCCTCTCCAAGTAAGAGCCCTTTTTACGGTGATTTACGTTTGGGTTTTTAAAGGTGCACTGTGTAACTTCGTCCGCTCGTTTCTACGGAGACGTCGTTGATGTGTCTGGAATGTTCCACAGTGTGACATTAAACAGCTCTACCTTACATTGATTCAATTACAGTTGGTTTTATAGCTCAAAAATACCTAGAAAAACAACATTCTGACTGTGAGCGGCGTCGCCTCTCCACAGATCTGACCTGTAACTTTGTCTGGTTTGGTTTCCATGGAGATAGAAATGTTTAATGCCACACTGTGAAACATTGCAGACAAAGAAATAACATCTCCGTGGAGAAAAGCATTTGACTTTTTTAGTTTTGAAGGTATGTGAAAGTGGTTTTACGTTGTCATCCGGGCATGTTTGAGTAATCTAGAGATCTCTCCTTGGCCCTATTCAAACCCTCTTTACAGTTTGCTGTAAGATTCAGTGCAATGTTTCATCCACAAGTAGGGATGGGCATTCGATGAAATTTTCTTAATCGATCGTCGGAAGAATTGACGATCGATTATCAATTAATCATTAACGTTTTTATATTAAAATGATCATCATTATTATTACTATCTGCACTAATCTGCATAAATAAATTCAACTTTACGACATATAAACATAACGACTCTAGAGCCACATCAGCTGTTTGACATTATAATGTGTTTAATTCAGTTTTGTTCAACTCTCACAGAAACGAAACTTAAAACCGCATCACTAATTTACATAAACTAAGCGAAGATAAAACTACAGCTCTTGTGTCGCTGATGTGGTTCCATTTCTGTTGGATTAAAAGACATGATTCAGGTGAATACAGGTTAGTGTGACACCGTACGGGGGGAGGGAGATGGGGACTCGTCATCGACATTGAGCGACTCTCACCTGGCAAAACTTTTCCCACTGGACACAGAAACATATGTGCTGCTTTATACACTGTGCACATGGACTCACACTTGTCCCGACCGGAACGGAAAGCGTGGAATTTCTTGTACAAATCATCGTTGCACATCGTTCGTATTTGCACTTCGGTACGTTGCAGGCTGACCGACGTGTACGGATCTGTTTGGTCACGCTGTGCAGAGCAACCTACATTCAGATTGTCGATTAAAATGAACGTAATCGATGAAATTCTTCATGATCAATTATCAATTAATCGACTAATCATGCCCATCCCTATCCACAAGCCTGGCTAAGCTTGATCAGTGCATTTATTGCTTGTCTTATACCTTCTTGTCAAAGCCTGATCCTGTCAGCAGGGCCGGGCCTGGTTAGAACTTGGATGGGAGACACTGGGAAAATCAGGTGCCACAGGGGGGCGCCAGTCACAAAAAAAAACTGTTGTTGTGTCCTTAGGCAAGACACTTCACCCACATTGATTAGTATGTAAAGCTCTATATAAATAAATCTGGGCACGGTTCGATTGAGCTCAACAAATGTAGTGCACTTTAGGGGCGAAGTCCTAGTGTGAGTGCACCCTAAGGTAACGCAAATTGAACCGTGCCCAGACACAGTCCTGTTAGGACTTTGGCCCAGAGGAGGAGGAAGGACCAAAGCACAGAGCTCATGTTCACGCACACACATGACTTTACTCTACAAGCCCCATGTGTGTCCTGATGTCACTCATACGAGGAAAACTGTGAATAAATTCCGCTTTAAAACACACGGAGAATCCACTCTTACCTTCAATAAGGACTGAGGACGGTGACAGACGTTTTGCAGCCTCGTTTCCTCATGTCCTCACTCCTCTGTTCTGTTATTATCTCCATAAACTCACAGAGGAGCGTATCGCAGCATCTGTCTCACTACTTCATAGATATTTCTGCCGCTGGACTTCTTTTCTCCGTTAAAGCGTTGGCTCTGCTGCGCGACATGTAAACAAACAGTGCCGTGCGGTGATGTCCTTCGCCGTGACCCGGTTCAGTTGTGCAGGTGTCAGTGCGGAACATAGAAACCACAGCGATTGGGCTCGAGGTTTTAAAGTCTTAGTGTGAGTCGCTCTTAAGCTCAGCCAAAACCATAATCTTCTCTGTTTTTTCTTGGCGAGTGAATCATGATCTTTGTCAATATTTTGTCTTTATAATAACAGTGCAAGTCTTTAAATTCCAGCTAACCTCCTTCTCTCTCTCTTTCTCCTCAGAGCCTTCTTTGACCACTCCATGCACAGCGCTCTGCCCTTGGGGATTTATCTGGCCACGAAGTTCTGGATGTACTGCACCTGGTTCTACTGGCTCTGGAATGATATCCTTTAAATGACCAATATCAGCTCTGCGGCGTTTAAAGGTGCTGTACCTGAGCTATAATTCACTGTATTTTTGTATGGCTCAAAATCGCAAACAGGATTCGTCTCATGTATTTAACCAAGAGAAAGTTAGAAAATCAAACGGTGAAACTTCATTGGTCGATAACAGACGAGCAGATTGTAGCGTTGTGGTGTGAGGAAACACCCCGGCTTTATTCTTCTTGTTTATTTGCTGAAGACAAAAGTTGTAAACCGTAAACCACACCAAAACAAGCACAAAACAACTCTGTGCTTCTGTTCAGTTTTACCTCTCAGGGTTTTTGCTGGAGCCAAGGATCATGCTCTCTTTAGTAATGTTTTTAATAGGTCTGGGCGATATGGATCAAAAAATATATCTCGATATATTTTGCTATATCTCGATATACGATATATATCTCGATATATGATCAAGAAAAAATAACCCTCTAAAACTGAAAACTGCACAAACAAATCTGCCAAATTCTACAAGGTCCTTTTTTTTTTTTAAATTGAAGTGTAAGAGGTCGACAGTTCATACAGGAGCATTTAAGATTACAAAAACCCTAATTACATAAATAATAATTTAACTGTAAAATAAAATAAATAATACATATTTCCTTCTTTTCATTCATAAATAAAACAACTCAACTCAAGCTCATCTTTGCTTTAACTTTGTTATCCAAACCAGAACCATGAGCTCCTTCAGCAGAAGAAGCTCAGGATGTTCCTTATTTTAACAGATCCATGTTATTATCCAGCAGTGAGGAGCTCTGAGGTTTAATCCCACAATCCACTGCAGATCAAACCCAACGATTCCAAACACTGTTGTACAAGTGACACTGCAACAGATTATTAATTAAAATCTTTTGCATAAATAAACTTTACATTGCTAAACTTTACAATATATAAAACATAACGACTCTAGAGCCACATCAGCCTGTTTGAGATAATAATGTGTTTAATGCAGTTTTGCGCACGTGTGTTTACATTTCACAGAAACTAAACTTAAGCGCATGGCTCATTTGCATAAACAGCACTTCTCATGCAGCTCAACTCGTTCAGCTTCTTTCGAGCCAAAGGACACGACTCGGTGGAATATGAGGATGTGCTGCTGATGGTTTTGTCTGTAAATGGTGGAAAAGGTTCGTGGTGCTTGAAGCTTTTCACTGGCACCAACTTTCAGCTTTCACGGAGGGAGTGAGGAGTGAAGGAGACACGAGCAACAAAATCAGGGAGGCGGCGGCGCGCGGAGGCGACGAGAGAGAAGACAAACAAGTGAAGCGGCGAAATCAAAATTGAATATAAGCATTATATCGATATATACGATATCTCGATATATTTAAAATATCGATATATCGCCCACCCCTAGGCTGGGCAAAAGTAAAAAATCTTAATCGCATGAGTTCCTGTGATTAATCATGATTAATCACGTTATACACAAAACCAATGAATGAATTCAAAAGTAGCGTAGCACATTTTTTTTGGAAATGTAAACGAAAGACATTTGTTGTGCAAACAGAACATTTCTTTCTACAGGAGCAGGGCACGAGTCCATGTTTATTCTTCTTCCTTGGGAGAATCTTACTCAAAAAAAAAAAGAACCAATTCCTGTGCAGTTTGTCATTTCCTAGAATTTTACTTTATGAATTGAAATGTAAAGTGCATTTGTAACAGCTGTGTCAGTGGATATGGTGTATACACAAGTGGACACAGTAGTAATAGGGTCATAGATTAGTATAATATGTTAATATGGACTTGTGACCAGAAAACTAGTATTCGGCTCTAGGAGGGAGTGACAGGAGACTGAGATTTGCTTTTGGTTTGGTACCATATATTATAGTGAATAGGTAAATAGTAAATTGACATACAAACATAAAACATAGACAGAACGGCCGTTCAGTTCTATACAACAAGTTCAGTAAACAGTTCAGTAGAGGCGCAGCAATGCATTATTGGGTGCAAAAAATATATTGAGAGTCTAACAATAATAGATGCAGAATTTGATTGCGCACTATATATCTAGATCAGGGGTGGGCAAACTACGGCCCGGGGGCCATGTGCGGCCCTTTAAACCTTTTAATCCGGCCCGCCGAACTGGAATAAATTACAATAATAAACCTTGTTGATGTTTTATTTGTCATGCACTTCCAGCGTTTCCCAGTAGATGGCGCACTATATATACATTGAGTTGCGGCATATTATGTTGGCCGCAATGCTTTATGGGAAAGTGTTCTTACAGGAGTTATTTGGACCATGAGTGAAGTAGTTGGTGCTTAAGATATAAGATGCACTGCTTCCATTTTGAATTGGTAAAAATCTATCAAGGAAACTCTTGGGCTGAAAGTTGTACTTAATAATGTGTACATCATTTTGGAGTCAGGTTTTATCACACTCTCAGGTGTATATCTGTGGTTGTTTGGCGTAAGCTTTGTTGTTGAGCTGTTACCTGTCGTATTGGGAAACGGTGAACTCACGATGAACATTCACTCGTGTTGTGCAGTGGAACAGGTCTCAGCAGTTTTATGTGTTCTGAATCTTTCACAGCAGCGATGAAACTTGTAGCGCGTCTGAAGTCCTAGATAAATGTGAATAAGAACATAATGAATCTGAGCTCTTAACACGTTACGTCCTGTCTTCTGTCCGGCCCTTCAGTCAAACTTTAGGACCCTATGTGGCCCACGAGCCAGAAAGTTTGCCCACCCCTGATCTACAGCATAACGACGATTGGTTTAGCGGACCCACGTGATCTTGTGACGTGGAGATCCCGCGAGAACACATCAAAATACCGCGAGATTTAAGTTCAGTAGCAGGAGATGGACGAGACGGGCACAGATGCATATAGAGAGAGACGGACGTTTTGCAGGATTTGTCACCTGGGCTACACATGTGATCAGCAGCAGTAAAATAAAGAGTTCACTGTAAATCTCAACTGAAAAAATAAAATCAAACCAAATACAAAACTGAAATGTATTGCCACTGCCAGGACTTTAATGTTTCCTGTTTGATATAAAAATCTCAGTCAAAAACAGTCATCACAAACTTTACTTTTCTGAACAAAGCCAGTTGCTGAGGCATACAGGATTATTATTATTAAGAATGCAATCAGTGGCACCGGCTTCTTGTGGATGAAAAGTGAGACCGGGGGAAGGAGGAGGGGTTTGTGTGGTTTGTGGTTGCGACGAAGAGCGATCGACTGCATGGTGGTGCCCCGAAAGCTCTTGGCGTCCGACTCACTGTGCGTTTATGTGCGTGTGTGCGGAGCGACGGCTCTGACACGTTTCGTCTCACGTGGTCGGCCGAAGCCTCGCTCCACTTGTTCCACTGAATGATTTACCAATATCAACAGAGCGTGTTGCATTTAGGTGATGTTTCAGACTCGTGAAACTCCGCTGATAAGACAGTTGGGTGTTGCTGTGTTATAAATGACTTTGTCTCCGTCGACTGCGCTGTCTGGAAAAACTTTAAAATGAAAATGGCCGTCTAGAAGTTCCTCACCCTTCTCCATATTTGTTTATCTCACTTTCTTTCTCTTTTTTTCTGTGAGCGCCGCAGCAGTAACATTCTAGACTCGATCACGATGGACTTTTTCAAAATAAAATCCAGTGAGCAACAGACGTTTACAATAAAAAAATAAATAAAATAAAATCTGCGTTAAGGGGAGAAATATAATTGCCGGCAATAATGCATTAATTAACGCATTAACGTGCTTGGCTCTAGTTTTTAATGATTCTAAATAATAATTCTACTTTCCCTTCATTCAAAACATTGCAACAAGTTTGACCAAAATGACTAGAAACACGTGTGAGCCTTTGCATTTTTGTATTTTAATCATTACTTAAGCTCGTTAGGGTGGTAGAACTGCAGGTAGGTTTGGATTTTAAGATCTTTAGGACAAAAATACGTTGATAGTTTGTGCCCAGGTGAGACAGGAAATGCCACACTTATGTTAAAGCAGTGAATAAACAGAGCTGGTCTTATGGCGGCTCCTGGAGAATGGAGTTTCTGTGGAAGTTTTTCTGTGGAAGTGGTTAATTGCTGAAGGTGAGAGGGGAGTTTCCTCTTTATGTGAGCTGCACTGAGTTTGACAGCGAGATTGAAAAAAACTGATTCCAAGACGAGACTTTTGTTGTAGTTTTCAGATTTAATCCTCGTCTTATGGATACAGAGTGAAACTGCAAGAGAAAAATACAGAAATACAATCAGCGATCTCTTAATAATGTCACAGTTACAACAAATTACCCATAAAAGTTCTCTTATTTTAGCATGAAAATGATTGAATGAATTTATCACAGATCCGTTTTTATCATTTGCAGATTATGAGGCTGCGTGACTCAAAGAAAATTACCGTTTGCGTAAATAACGTGGCTGACAACTGTAATAATAATGTATTTTTTTAACTTTACAATTTTGTTTTTAAGTAATTTATACATTGGGACCAGACCGGGACTGAGACTATACAGGGACCGGGACTGAGACCGGGACTGAGACCGGGACTGAGACCGGGATTATACAGGGACTGAGACCGAAACTGGGACCAGACCAGGACTGAGACCTGTTTAGTCTTGGTTCAGTCCTGGTTTATTCCTGGTTTAGTCCTGTTTTAGTCCTGTTTTAGTCCTAGTTTAGTCCTAGTTCAGTCCTGGTTTAGTCCTGGTTCAGTCCTAGTTTAGTCCTAGTTCAAGGTTGGTTTAAACCTGGTTTAGTCCTAGTTTAGTCCTGGTTTAGACCTGTTTTAGTACTGTTTTAAACCTGGTTTTGTCCTGGTTTAGACCTGGTTTAGTCCTGGTTTAGTCCTGGTTTACTCCTGGTTTAAACCTGGTTTAAACCTGGTTTTGTCCTGTTTTAGACCTGGTTTAGTCCTGGTTTAGTCCTGGTTTAGTCCTTGTTTAGTCCTGTTTTAGTCCTGTTTTAGTCCTAGTTCAGTCCTAGTTCAGTCCTGGTTTAGTCCTGGTTTAGTCCTGGTTCAGTCCTAGTTTAGTCC